ATTACAGCAGTTATGATTTTTATGCGGCATATGTGGAGTTTGATTTTTGCCTTCACTTCTTAATTCGACTTCTCTTCGGCTTTGGATACACTTATTACTTTGTAACACTCTTATTTTCTTTGTTCTAGCTCGTTACTCTTCCCGTCTTCTGTTTTAATCTTGGGTCTCCTGCCTGAGGTTGGAGAGTTTTCTTCTTCTGTTCTAGATACGCCACCTTTTGGCTGCCCTTGTATCTACATACACTTATTTTACCAGAAGCCAAAGCAACAGAGAGCATATATACATATGCACATATATAGCCTTGCACACGATCTACATATACCCCCCACCAACATCAGCACAAGGAGCAGCAGCACTTTTCCTGTTCATTTTGGCTATTCATTTGTCCCGAGAGCATGACTCAATGAGAATCGGAGAAATTGTTAGATTAAAATACATTTAGTCAATCACATCACATTATCACATAGCAACGTTTGGAACAGATTTTGATTTCATAGACCGTATTCAATTTTTTTTCTATGATTTTATTCTAGATTTTTCGATTTTTTTGGGGTGTGTGGTTTTTCTTGTAAGACATAGGAGTCGTCAAACAGAACAAATATCAAGCAAACACAACGATCCAATACACCTCTCAACCAATCTCGTAAACTCTTACAGGGGAGGGAAAACGACCACCTTCATCTATTCAATGTCGACCTTGTGGATCTCGGTCCACTCCTTCTCGACCTTAGGGACGGTGACGACGAGCAGGCCGTCCTCCATCCTGGCGGTGATGCTCAGGCCGTCGACCTCGCCGTCCTTGTCGCACCCGGCGGGGGGCAGGGTGACGGTGCGCTCGAAGGCGCCGACGCGCCGCTCGGACGAGGGGGTGAGGGTCTGGAGGAAGGACTCGTCGCCGGGGCGGTAGACGACGCCGGCGATGGACAGGGTCGAGGTGTCCGGGTCCCAGTTGACGCCGACGTCCTCCTTTTTAGCTCCCGGGAGGGCGGCGTGGAGGACGTAGGCGGCGGGTGTGTTGAAGATGTCGATCGGGGGCGAGAAGGACTCGTCTTCTGGGTCATCGTTGTTGGTGGCGTTGTTGTCACCCGAGCGGGCAGTGCCCTGCTGCTGGGCGTCGCGGAAGTTCTGGACTTGCTCGCGCAGGTTCTCGACGAAGGGGTGGCTTCCTAGGTTGCCGAGGCTCTGGAACATGGCGGAGAAGTCGAAGGGAGCGGGTGGAGGGGGGTGGTGAGGACCTCCCCGGTAGGGGGGAGGAGGTGGTGGAGGGAAGGGGAAGCCGTGGTGGGGAGGTCGTGAGAAGGGGTGATGGTGGTGGGGAGGAGGAGGGCCACGGTGAGCTCCTCCACGACCGCCGCGGTGGCCACGGCCTCCTCGTCCTCCTCTGCCTCCTCGACCGCAGGGACGGGCGCCGTGACGGCCCCATCGTGGGCAGGGACCAGAGCGTTCGTAGTCGTCAGAGTCCTCGGGGGCGACTTCCTCTGGATCGGGTGCGGCAGTGGCACTCTCGTCGTCCATCACGGTATCAGGCGAGGGATGCTTCTCGTCATTGATGTTTCTTTGTGTCGCCCCGTCTTCAGTAGGGGTGGGGGGAGTCTGCTGTCGAGGCTCCCGGTGATCATGGGGAGGTCTGAAAGGGTGATCACGGTCATGTTCGTGGTGACCCCAATGGTCCCAGTGACCGGGACGGCCCCATGGACCCCATTGCTCGAAGTCGGCGCCGGCGCCGGCCCATGATGCATGAGGCCCGGAGTGGTGGTGAGGGCCTCCGAAGGGGAAGCCGGGTGGGAAGGGAGGTGGGTGGCGGTCGACGCCTTCACCGTGAGATCTTTGGTTGGGGTCCAGGGACTGGAGGAAGTCCCAGAACTGCGAAAAGGGATGCCGCTGGTTGGCAGCCATGATGAGTGGTAGGGAGTGGTAGGTAGTTACTGGTGAGGTATACTTGCCAATATCGGGAGATGTGAGAGAATGCGAGGATGAGAGATGAGCGTTGAGAGGTTGGTGAAGAAAGAGGATATGGAAGAGGGAGGGGCGACGGGTATTTATTCACTGCACTCGGGCATTATCAAAGTACGTACGTATTGCGTGTGTCTACATACATCATGTCATTCATGGGTGGTGTGGTGCGGTAGCACTGGTGTAGTGGTGTACAAGCTTCAGGCAATTCCGCCGCGTCAACATCCAGCCCCAAGGCAGAGAGGTGCTGGCGACGACAACTCCGCATCTAACACGGGCTTGGGCGATCGCACGAACCGTTGCCACCGGGCTATTGTTTCAAGGACAGAGACCATTCTGGTTCCTGGCGTCAAGCCGATCGCTCGTCGGGATTGTCAAATGACCGAGGGTGATGCTGCCTGGCCACCACACCAATAGCTTGCCTCGGGGGTTGGAGGCACCGAGCTAGAAGAAATGTGATTGGAGAGTTCTCTAATCAATCAGTAGCAGAGGAAATGGAAGTGCGAATCCGCCACGCGTTTGAACGCCACACCCAGTCGCATCCACTTGTCTAAGCTTGTCCATGGCCTTCCAGCCCACTGTGCTACGCAGATGGACCGCCTTGTCAGACTCACTGATTCAGAGAAACAGATCCACGATCCATAGTTCTATAGAAAATAAAGTGTGGCACACCACGGCATGGCGAATAACTAAAGGCACTATCTGTGCGTCAACGCTCGGCTGCCTGGGGCTGGCTCGGCATTTGCACTCGGACTCCGTTTTACAGGTTTTGCCCGCCGCCTCTGCCAACTTTTGGGAACTGGGCGGAGATGGTAAGAGTCATACCGCTTCCAGGCTGCCGCCGCCTTCTTGAAGCTGGCCATTCATGTGAATGAATGCTTTTTGATGGTCGCAGGCTCAGCGCATGACTGGGTTGGCTCATAGTCATGTATTATTGGTTGAGCTCGGCAGCGGGCTACGGTACACGTATCGCCACGCGTCCGGTTGCTTCTCGGTCTCGCCATCTCTGTTGTCCACAAGAGCGAGTTGCAACCGTCGTCCACGGGCCGACCAATAATTACACGCCGGGATAATTACCAAGGCCATATCAATCTTCAAGTCAACGGGTTGATCTAGACCCAGCTGGCTGTACCTATACGCCGGGCGCTCAGCCTCTCGTGCAAGCTGCAAGCGGTTATCTCTTGTTTTCAATAACACATAAATAATAATTAGCCAATGGCCCGAAGTAAAATCAATTTTATTGTGTCTTTTTCTGTTGTACGTGCATGTCTTGTTCTGACATTGCCAGCGCTATGCGAATAGTCCTTCCTACACCAAGTTGATGCTGATGAACATTAACTGGCCCATCGCAAAGATATATACCAAGTACGCCATAAGAAATATAGATGATCTCTAAAGATAAACTATTCGGCCTATTGTTTGACCTCCTATAGGATGTCGGCCACAGCCCGGACAGTTCAAGGAAGCAAGGCCCGGCAGTCCGGGAGATGGCCGGAGCCTGTGCCCGGCGGTTGCCCCACTCGGTCGGCACACAGAAATTTCGGGTGCTGACAGGCAAGGAGACAATGAAGCATCAAGAAAACATTGTCCGAATTCGCTCCCATCCTTCAGTTCTACCTGTTGTCTTAGTGTGCCACTGGTAAGACGATGCCTTCGTTACGAGAAGCCCTACAATGCGAGATCTCATTTCTCAAATTAGCTACTTTATCTTTTTGTATGGTTTCCTTAGCGAGGCGCCCAATCTTGATTGCTCTGGTGACCTTGATTCGACATGAGGTACCTACCTAAGGTATATAGTTCTTGTTAAGATGTTCAGATCGGGCGATGGTTGCAGGACTATCTGGTATACCCAAGCATGTCTCATATGCATGCTGCTTTTCCGCCTTTAGCCGCACCAGATGGTGAGACACAGTGTGTCGCATCGCGTCCCGGCCATGTCTGTACCTTACTTGCATGCATACGAGCTACTTTTACTGGGGCTCAGGGTTCAATGTGCTACGCTGTTGCTGTCATATTTCTCCAGCCTCTCTTCCCCTTCCCAACAATTCAAGCTGTGCAGTAGAGCCACCGTCAAACCCTTGCCGAAGGCTTGTTACAGTTCGCCTTCACGTGCTGGGTCGGCTCCATCTCAACAGTTTGCAGAAACCGGCTTGACTAGGAGCCACCGCCTTTCTTTGGAGGGGCAGATCGAGCTGACATCATCATCCTGGACATACGAGCCGAATCCCCTGTACCTGACACCGTTCTCTCCACATCCGCCCCGGAGCGTTTGGTCGCAAGCAGACAGGAATGGTACCCCTGGGCTCATCTATGGAAGGGAGCTGGGCGCAAAAATAAATCTCGCCCTCGAGGAAGGAAAAACACAACGATGCTCGCAGCCGGTGCTGGAGCTCTGGTGCGAGGTCGGTGACCGGCGGCTGCATCTGGCTAGAAGCGAGGGTGGGCCAGTGGATCTGCTGCTGTAGGTCACCTAGAGGGGCCCTCGGATTGGACGCCTGATGCTCGCCAGGGGGTCTCTAAGAGCCTTTTGAGGCCTGTCGCCACGCCATTGACCAATAGACGGCTCCTGATTCCCTCCCAGGTGCTATCATGCACTAATATGATCAACTAAGTTGCCGGTGGTGGTGGATGCTGGCGGCACCTTAGGTCGTAGTCAAGGTGAGAAAAAAAGTTTTTGGTGGTGCTGCTGTACCGATTCGGCCCCATTCCGCTAGACCTCTACTTTTTTTTTTTTTTACTTTTCCTCCTCCGCCTCTTCTCTCCCTCCTCTTTCATATCCAAACTGCTCGCGTGCTCTAGACAACTCTCAATTGTTGGTTGTCGCGGCAGATGATTGCGAAGTAGCCTCTGGATCAGTCCCAAGGGAGCACTCTGAGATACGAGTCCCTCGCTTGCCAGACCGATTGAGCACCCCGCGCCTCTTCGTCATCAGAGAGCTTGTTGATCTGCCCCGCGCCGCCTGTCTCATCTACGCCCGAATCTTCGTCCATTCTCCCCACGGACAAACCTTTCTTTTCTCTCTCCCTACCCCCAGGCAATAAATTAGCATGGCAGTTCAGCTTGCCCCGCCGTCCTCGGCCCGTCTCGTCGAGGACGACGGCCTCGTTTGCCTCGAGCTCCAGGATGGCTCAACCTACCAGGGCTACAGCTTCGGTGCCCAGAAGAGCATCGCTGGAGAGCTGGTCTTCCAGACGGGCATGGTCGGATATAATGAAAGCATTACTGATCCCTCCTACGAGGGCCAAATTCTCGTCCTCACCTTTCCATTGGTGGGAAACTACGGTGTTCCCTCTCGCGAGCTGGAGGAGTTTTTGGGCGACCTGCCAGCTCACTTCGAGTCCTCCCGGATCCACATTGCCGGTCTGGTCACAGCCTCGTATTGCGGCGAAGACTACTCTCATTTCCTTGCCGCTTCATCGCTGGGCACATGGCTCAAGGAGCAGGGCATCCCCGCCATGTACGGCGTCGACACCCGAGCCCTCACAAAGAAGCTCCGAGAACAAGGTAGCATGCTTGGCAAGATGCGCCTTGCGAAGCAGAGCTTGACCAACGGTGCTGAGAACGGCCTTGTTCATGCTCACACCTCTCTCGATAGCTTCGAGACGGTGGAGTGGAGCAACCCCAACGAGAAGAATCTTGTCGCTCAAGGTAAGACCAAGATCCCAGAAGCTCCAATTCAGCAGCTGGACGTACACTAACATCAATTGAAGTTTCCGTCAAGGAGCCTAAGCTATACAAGCCCTCGCCGTCCATTGCTCGCAAGCACCCCTCCGGCCGAACCCTTCGGGTCTTGTGTGTCGATGTCGGTATGAAGTACAACCAGCTCAGATGCTTCCTCAAGCGCGGTGTCGAGGTCCTCGTGGTCCCCTGGGACCACAACATCGTCAAGGAGGCCGGCGACCAGTACGATGGTCTCTTCATCTCCAACGGTCCCGGTGACCCTTCCGTCGTCGATGCCACCGCCAAGAACATCGCGACCGCCATGGAGAAGAACAAGACCCCAGTGTTTGGTATTTGCTTGGGACACCAGCTCCTCGCCAGAGCTGCCGGGGCCAAGACGAAGAAGATGAAATTCGGAAATCGAGGCCACAACATCCCCTGCACGAGTATGGTGACTGGTAAATGCCACATCACCTCACAAAACCATGGGTTTGAGTTGGATGCTTCCAGCCTTCCCCAGGGCTGGGAGGAGCTCTTTGTCAACGCCAATGATGGCAGCAATGAAGGAATTCGGCACACCGACAAGCCCTACTTCAGTGTGCAATTCCACCCCGAGTCAACACCCGGTCCCCGTGACACGGAGTATCTCTTTGACGTGTTTTTAAACACCGTCGCTGAGTGCGCCGAGGACCCTACGCTCCTCCAGAAACCAGTTAGCTTCCCCGGTGGCACCATTGAGGAGAACGAGCGCCTCCACCCTCGTGTCTCGGTCAAGAAGGTCCTTGTCCTGGGCAGTGGTGGCCTGAGCATTGGCCAGGCCGGCGAGTTCGATTACTCCGGCAGTCAAGCCATCAAGGCTCTAAAGGAGGAAGGCATCTACACGGTGCTCATCAACCCCAATATTGCCACCATCCAGACCTCCAAGGGTCTCGCCGACAAGGTGTACTTCCTCCCTGTCAACGCCGAATTCGTCCGCAAGGTCATCAAGTACGAGCGCCCCGACGCCATCTATGTTACCTTTGGTGGTCAGACCGCTCTGCAGGTCGGTATCCAGCTCAAGGATGAGTTTGAGGAGCTCGGTGTCAAGGTTCTCGGTACCCCCATTGACACCATCATCACGACTGAGGATCGTGAGCTCTTTGCCCGAAGCATGGAGACGATTGGCGAGAAGTGTGCCAAGTCCGCCTCCGCCAACAACATCACAGAAGCCATGGAATGCGTCAAGGATATTGGTTTTCCTGTGATTGTCCGTGCTGCCTATGCTCTTGGCGGATTGGGTAGCGGATTTGCCAACAACTCTTCTGAGCTAGAGGATTTATGCAACAAGGCATTCGCCGCAAGCCCCCAGGTCCTGATTGAGCGAAGTATGAAGGGCTGGAAGGAAATCGAGTACGAAGTCGTCCGTGACGCCCAAGACAACTGCATCACAGTCTGTAACATGGAAAACTTTGACCCCTTGGGTATTCACACCGGTGACTCCATTGTCGTCGCCCCCTCCCAGACTCTGTCTGATGAGGACTACAACATGCTCCGCACTACAGCAGTCAATGTCATCCGGCATCTGGGCGTCGTCGGTGAGTGCAACATTCAGTATGCGCTGAACCCCTTCTCGAGGGAGTACTGCATCATCGAGGTCAACGCCCGTCTCTCGCGATCTTCCGCCCTTGCCTCCAAGGCTACCGGCTACCCTCTGGCGTTCATCGCCGCCAAGCTTGGTCTCGGTATCCCTCTGAAGGAGATCAAGAACGCCGTCACCAAGCAGACCTGCGCCTGCTTTGAGCCGTCTCTCGACTACGTCGTTGTCAAGATGCCCAGGTGGGATCTCAAGAAGTTCACCCGTGTGTCGACCCAGCTCGGCTCTGCCATGAAGAGTGTCGGTGAGGTCATGAGCATCGGTCGGTCGTTCGAGGAAGCCATCCAGAAGGCGATCCGATCTATCGACTTCCACAACATCGGATTCGGCGCGACCCCGGCCCTGATGAAGCTCGATGATGAGCTCCAGACTCCCTCTGACCAGCGTCTCTTCGCCATTGCAAATGCAATGCACGAGGGATACAGCGTGGACAAGATCTGGGAGATGACCAAGATCGACAAGTGGTTCCTTCGCAAGCTCAAGGGCCTGAGCGACTTTGCCAAGGAAATGTCGAACTACAGCACCACCGACATCACCGGCTCCCCCCACCTTCTCTTGCAGGCCAAGAGACTTGGTTTCAGCGACCGACAGCTGGCCAACTTCTGGAGCTCCAACGAAATCGCGGTGCGAAGGCTCAGGCAAGAGGCGGGTATCCACCCCTTTGTCAAGCAGATTGATACCGTCGCTGCCGAGTTCCCTGCCTACACCAACTACCTCTACCTTACATACAATGCATCCGAGCATGATCTTGACTTCGATGACCACGGAGTGGTGGTTCTTGGCTCCGGTGTGTATAGGATCGGTTCCTCCGTCGAGTTCGATTGGTGCTCTGTCAGAGCTATCCGGACTCTTCGCGAGTTGGGCTACAAGACTGTTATGATTAACAGTAGGTCACCCCTTTCTTTCATTCTTCATATTGTCTTTCGTTTTTTATATTGTCTATTTGTTTTTCATTTTGGGTGTTTGTTTGTTGTTGTCGATTTGTTCCTATCCAAGTGGATATTACAAACCCAATAATCTGTCTGATTTTTGTATTGCTTCACCATGGCTGTCTACCCGACTCACTGCTGCTGTGGGCTCAACAATTGGTCGACTTGGATTCCATCGGCTTCCAATGAATCCAGTCTCATTTGTTGATCTGGAAGATCACCATGATACCCACGCGGCATGCAGAGTCCCATGCTAGGCTGCCTGACAACCACTGCACATTCCATGTCTGTCCAATCTCTGGTCGATGAATCAAGGAAACGCCTATACCGCATCTATTATTATCTGTGTCAGTATGCCACGAGAGTTCAACCCAAGTGGGTCACTCACGTGATGTATTTCCTAGCTTGGAAATGCGCCTACACCGCAGCCCCACATCCACTGTACACGCTCCAGAACATCATTTCTTGATGAATATCATGCTAATCCGTGCAAATCAGCCAACCCGGAAACCATTTCCACCGATTATGATGAAGCCGACCGTCTCTACTTCGAAACAATTGATTTGGAGACTTCTCTAGACATATACGAACGAGAGGGCAGCCAAGGTATTCTAGGAGCCATGTCTGGACAATTACCCAACAACATTGCACTCCCTCTGCACCGTGCCGGCGCCAAGGTGCTGGGAACATCCCCAGAGATGATTGACAGTGCGGAGAACAGATACAAGTTCTCCCGAATGCTGGACCGCATTGAGGTGGATCAGCCTACATGGAAAGAACTTACCAGCTTCGAGGAGGCCAAGAGCTTCTGCCAAAAGGTCACATACCCTGTTCTTGTGCGTCCCTCCTACGTTCTCTCAGGTGCCGCCATGAACACCGTGTACTCTGAAAAAGATCTTGAGAATTTCCTCGACCAGGCGGCCCAGGTCTCGAGAGAGCACCCAGTGGTGATCACCAAGTACATCGAGAATGCCAAGGAGATTGAAATGGATGCCGTGGCCAAGGACGGAGAGGTCATCGGTCACTTTGTCTCTGAGCATGTTGAAAACGCTGGTGTCCACTCCGGTGATGCTACCCTCATTCTCCCTCCCCAGGATCTTGAGCGCACCACGATCCAGAGGATTGAGGAGGCAACTCGCAAGATTGCTGCCGCCCTCAACGTCACTGGTCCGATGAACATCCAGTTCATAGCCAAGGATGATAATGTCCGCGTTATTGAATGTAACGTACGAGCTTCCCGATCTTTCCCCTTCGTGTCGAAGGTTATGGGCGTGGATTTAATCCAGCTAGCTACACAAGCTAGTAAGTATAAACTTATAACCCTTTCTACTTTATAGCTTGCTAATAGATAATCTTAGTTATGAACGAGCCCTTCAAGGCCTACCCTCCCAGCGACCTGCCTGCCAACTGCGTCGGTGTTAAGGTGCCACAGTTCAGTTTCTCTCGCCTGTCGGGTGCCGATCCTGTTCTCGGTGTGGAGATGGCCTCCACCGGAGAGGTCGCTTCCTTTGGTGTTGGTTAGTCTAAATTATTCCAATTTGAATATGGGAATGCAAAGCATACAGAGCTAACAAATCGAAAATAGACAAATATGAAGCCTATCTCAAGGCCCTGTTGTCCACCGGCTTCAAAATCCCCAAGGCCAACATCCTCTTGTCCATTGGTTCCTACAAGGACAAGAGGGAGATGCTCCCCTCAGTCGAGAAGCTCCAGAAGATCGGATACAAGCTGTTCGCGACTGCTGGTACCGCCGATTTCCTGCAGGAGCACGGCATCCCAGTTCAGTATCTGGAGGTCCTTGGGAGCGACGAGGACCGAGAATCCGAGTTCTCACTCACCCAGCACTTGTCGAAGAACACCATTGACTTGTACATCAACCTGCCGTCGAACAACAAGTACCGTCGTCCTGCCAGCTACATAAGTAAGGGTTATCAGACACGTCGACTAGCTGTTGACTTTCAGATTCCTTTGGTCACCAACGTCAAGAATGCCAAGATCCTGGTGGAAGCCCTCGCCCGGGATTTTGACCTTAATGTCTCCCAGCGAGACTACCAGACGAGCCACCGCACCGTTGTCCTGCCTGGTTTGATCAACATTGCTGCATTTGTTCCCGGTATCGTCACGCCTAGTAGCCAGGATATGGAAGCAGTCACAAAGGCATCTATTGCCTCTGGTTTCTCCATGATTCGGGTGATGCCTCTTGGTGTCGAGGGCTCCATCACTGACGCCCTCACGCTCAAGCTGGCGCAGCAGAACAGCCAGAAGGACAACTTCTGCGACTTCAACCTGTCTGTCTCAGCTACGTCTGACAATGATGGCCAGATCAGCACAGTCATTGGCGAGGTTGGATCCCTTTTCATCCCGTTCAACCACCTGTCCGGCAACATCAGCAAGGTGGCTGCAGTCACGGCTCACTTCGATGCCTGGCCCTCATACAAGCCCATTGTGACTGACGCCAAGCTGACCGATCTTGCATCTATCCTCCTCCTGGCCAGTCTTCACAGCCGCCGCATTCACGTCACATCCGTCACTACGAAGGATGATATCCGACTGATTGCTCTCAGCAAGGAGAAGGGCTTGCAAGTTACTTGCGATGTGTCCATCTACTCTCTGTACCTGTCACAAAACGACTTCCCTGGATGTGATCGCCTCCCAACTGCCGAGGATCAGGCAGCGCTCTGGGAGCACATGAGCACCATTGACGTCTTCTCCATTGGCAGCCTGCCATACCACCTCGCCAGGGTGAAGGGACACAAGGCCAACCCCTCCATGGGCATTTCAGAGGCCCTCCCTCTCCTCTTGACATCAGTCACGGAGGGCAAGCTCACCATTGACGATATCAAGCTGCGCCTGTACGAGAATCCCAAGGAGATCTTTGAGCTGCACGAGCAGGTCAACACCAGCATCGAGGTCGAGGTTGATCGATCCTACGAGGTTCCTCAGGGCTCCATCTGGTCTCCCTTCGCCGGGCGCAAGATGAGCGGATCTGTAAAGAGAGTCACGTTCCAAAACACCACGGTGTGCCTGGATGGTGAGCTGCTGCCAGTTCCCCCTCAGGGCAAGGACATGTCCTCCCACCTGCTGCCACCCACATCTCCCCCATCTAAGCCCACCGTTCCCTCAATCGGTCAGGTCGCGGAGAGCCCATACTCGAAGACCCGGCGAGAGTCCATCCTCGCCCCTGTGCAGCCCCTTACCAAGCTGCGCGGCCTTGAGGGCAGTGCACTTTCCCCCTCGCAGCTTGAAAAGGTCAGTGGAGCACTGGAGGAGTCTCTGCTACCCCTCCAATTGCAGTCCTCTACCCGCTCTTCTGTCCAGCACCTGCTGTCGCGATCTTCTTCGTTTAAGAATGCGCACGTGCTCTCTGTTAAGCAATACAGCCGATCAGATCTGCATTTGCTCTTCACCGTTGCTCAGGAGATGCGTCTCGGTGTTCAGCGAGAGGGAGTGCTCGACATCCTGAAGGGACGTCTCCTGTGCACCCTCTTCTACGAGCCTTCGACCAGAACCTCTGCCTCGTTCGATGCCGCCATGCAGCGCCTGGGAGGCCGCACAGTCCCCATTGCCACCTCGCAATCCTCAGTGCAGAAGGGAGAGACTCTCCAGGATACTCTCCGCACCCTGGCTTGCTACGGTGACGCCGTGGTCCTGCGCCATCCCTCGGAGCATTCCGTCGACATCGCACAGAAGTTCAGCCCCGTCCCCGTCATCAACGGAGGAAACGGAAGCAAGGAGCACCCAACTCAGGCCTTCCTCGACCTGTTCACGATCCGTGAGGAGTTCGGTACCGTCAACGGGCTGACCATCACCTTCATCGGAGACCTCCTCTACGGACGCCCCGTCCACTCGCTCGTGTACCTGCTCCGCCACTACGAGGTGCAGGTGCAGCTCGTGGCCCCCAAGGGCCTGGCCCTCCCCGCCGGCGTCAGGGAGCAGCTCGTCAAATCCGGCCAGCTGCTGGTCGAGTCCGAGACCCTGACCCCCGAGATCCTCGCCCGCAGCGACGTCCTCTACTGCACCCGCGTGCAGAAGGAGCGGTTCCCCAGCGCGGAGGAGTACGAGGCCGTCAAGAACTCGTACCGCGTCGACAACGCCGCGCTCAAGCACGCCAAGAGCTCCATGGTGGTCCTCCACCCCTTACCCAGGAACGAGGAGGTGGCCGAGGAGGTGGACTTTGACCAGCGGGCAGCCTACTTCAGACAGGTAAGTGAAAAAAAGGATTCTTGACATGTCCCCCCCCCCCCTTTACTACTAATTCACATCCCCCAACGAAAAGCACGGGTCGGCTAACATGGATTGCAGATGCGCTACGGTCTCTACTGCCGAATGGCCCTACTGGCACTTGTCATGCACGGATAGGCGAAAGCATAGAGAACGGGCGGTATAGAAAAGTGTTTACTTGTTTTTCGTTTGCGTTTTTCTTTTCTTGTCTTCTAGGCTACTTGGGCGATACTACCTGGGCACTCACTGCGTGGCATTTTTTTTAAAGGCTCAGTGGGTATCGACGATAAAAGCAAAAACAAGTGATAAAATGGCATCTTTAACAAAAGGTAGTCCACCATAACGTATTGGTTTCTTCTGAGATGGGCACGGGGGCGTTCGGGGCGTTGCGTATCCCCGTGGCGCATTGTGTGCGTTTGCGGTTTACGTTGCCCTCCCCGTTCTGTGTGTTATGTATGTGTTATGTATGCGTTTCGTCCCGACCAGTGTCGTGTACGTTGCGTGTATTTCACGTATATACCATATCACCGTCGTCTGCGTCCGTTTCATTGGCGTTGGATGTCGTGTGTCTCGGATCGGCGTTTTTGGGTTTGTTAGCGTGGGTTTAGATCATTATTTTTTGGCAAGGGTGGGATCTGTTTCTATTTTGTATATATTGTATTTATTCAGTTTAGTTTCGTCTAGGTAGTTTATTTTAATAAATCGATTCGTAATTCCCGTACTTTGATTTGCCATCGCGTCCTTTGTTTCCGTGTGTCTCTCTGTGTCTGTCTCTGTGTCTGTCTCCATGTCTATGATGCATCCAGATGAACAGCCATTATATCCGGTTTCGGTGATCGGAGGACAGTCCACAGATCGGATCTGCCATACAAACCCATAATATGAGATGAGTCAAGACTTGCGAACAAGAGCTGTCTCTTATGAATATAAAACCGCATGTTGGGCGAGGACCTTCTCCTAGTATTCTACCCATTACTCGAAAGCGGATGCCTCAGTGAAGCAATTGATCAGTCACATCTCGCATCCAGCCAATACGTAACGGCAACCAAAGGTGGAGTGAACGGCCGCAGTGGTGTGAAGAGGCGGCTCCAACGCCGGAACAGCCCCAACTGTCTGTCCTGCCAGAAGCTCCCTCACCGACCCCGCCAGGGCTGAGGGCCGACTGCGCCGAAGTGCTGTCGTTCCCCCAATTCACGCCATCCCATCATACCACCGTCTCACCACCTGCCGGCTGCTGCTCCTCGTAGTCACTTCCAGAACATCTCGGGAGCCATATCGAGCTCTGGCGGTGTCGAGCTCACCTCAGGCCAGCTTACACCTATATACTGGGCTCGGCCGCTCTCTCCATCCTCTCTCGTCTGACTCCAATCTCATATACTAGACTCAGACCATATATGTACAGACGAGGTCTATCGTTGAGAGCCACACTCAAGTCAGCAAGAATGGCGCTTCACTCAGCCCCAGACAAGCTCATATGTGAGTCCTCAATCCTGCTCGTGCTTCCCTGTACTACCTACCTACCTACCCCTCCATCATCTCGATACAACACCATCCATCTCCAACCCCCTCCTCCTCCTCTCCCCTCCCCCCAAACCACCACAGCCATAAACCTTCTTACACCCATATAAAGAAAAAAGCCAAAGCTAACCGACCCCCCTCTCCCTGGGGACCGCCCCCCCTCCGTAGTCGCCCCCGCAGGTTCCCAAGCCCACGGCCAGGCCGAGCAGTTCACCCTCGGGAAGCTTCACCGCTCCGACCTCAACCCCACATCCCCAATCGCCCAGTTCAACACCTGGTTCTCCCAGGCCCAAAAGGCCACCACCAGCACCACTACCACCGCCGCGGAGGCCAACCAGCAGCAACAGGCCCTCGTCGCCCACCCAGAGGCCTGCACCCTCTCCACCGCCTCCCTCCCCTCCGGCCGTGTCACCTCCCGCGTCGTCTACCTCAAGGAGCTCGACGCCGCCGGCGGGTTCGTCGTCTACTCCAACCTCTCCACCAGCCGCAAGGCCAGGGACCTCGAGTCCAACCCCCACGCCGCCCTGCTCTTCTACTGGGAGGCGCTGCAGAGACAGGTCCGCGTCGAAGGGGTGGCGACCAGGCTGTCCAGGGAGGAGAGCCAGGTCTACTTCGACACCCGCGTGCGCGGGAGCCGCATCGGCGCCTGGGCCAGCCGTCAGAGCCAGGTGCTTGAACCTCAAAGCGGCGAGGACGACGGCCGCGCCCAGCTCGAGGGCTGGGTGAAGGAGGTTGAGGACAAGTTCCAGGGCAAGGATGACATCCCTGTTCCCGACTTTTGGGGTGGTCTGAGGATCGTCCCTTCCGTTGTCGAGTTTTGGCAAGGTAGAGAGAGCCGCCTGCATGACAGGTTCGTTTATGAACGAGAAGAGGGGAAAGAGGATGCACCGTGGACGCTGCAGAGATTAAGTCCTTGAGTTCACAGCATGGGAGGCATAGTTGTTTTCAGGTAGCGAATCCGGCTATACAGCCATTAGGAGTTATCATTCAAAAAATTAGATGGTAAGATCTCCAAAGGAATCCAAATACCCAGCGGCCGCCGCCGTCCCAAAAATCCAAGGATATGTCCAACATACGCCAAAACAAACTATCTAGGTATCAAGCATTGTCGCTCTGTAAGCACTGTCCAGTAAATGCTGTGCAAACCCCAATTGAAGATCAGAATGTCCTGGGCCATCTAGGCCCCAAATGGATCCATACATATATAACAGAAGAGTATGCGTTCCAGGTGTACATTAAAAAGCAGTCGTAGTTTCAAAACGGAGATGCCGAAAATTCAACGCCGTGCGTCATGCATAGAAAATGGAGTGGCCCCCAGGTTTGCACAAGAAATGCCTCCCACGCTTGCCAAAGAAATCAAATGTGAAAAATCAGAAAAAATTCGTTGTCATGGAATGAATTGCAATCCAATTCCTAGATACCGGGAAGTCGGTCGAGGTGATTCATGAAGCTGATGAACCAGTCGCAGCCACGGAAGAGCCCTTGAGGCCCATGGATAACATCCCGAGGCCGACTGTCGTAGCCATTGTCTTAGAACGGCTGTGAGACGGGACAAAGTCACCCTCCACACTGTGGGGGGTTGAGCTCTCGGGGGGGGTGGGTTGCCGGGAATGCCAATCATGATGCCGCCCAGCAAGCTGCATATCCACCATCGCATCTGTGATACACGACTCCTCGCATAGTGGCATGATTCTGTACTCCAGGCGCTCCATAATGCAGCGCTCCGTCACATTGAGCTGTTCGGCGGACCACATTCCACGACCCCAAACGTTGCAGTAGTGGTGGGAGGAGTCCTGGTGATCCTGAGTGAACTTGGAGGCGATGACGAGCGCCGAGAGAACAATGAGCTCGGGATTGACAGAGTCAATGTGCAGCTGGTTGGGGAACTGGCTGTGGACGAATGGCGACGATGGCAGTGTGTGTCGCTTGGACCTCGGCGCAATGTAGCCAGAGAGGAGTGGGCAGGACAGGCGCCAGGTGCGGGCGAAGCGAGCGTCGAGGCTGTCCAGAATGCAGACGGCGAGCGCCACGGTTTCGAGCGGCAAGTCGGCTCGGGTGAGCATGGCCTGCACCAGAGGAATCGAAGCGTTGGCCAGCGAGGCGGTGGAAGGGATTAAGTTCACGAGATGGACGGCCGGGCCTAATTAGCGTTTGGATCACGGTTAGCCGATCATCCTTGGATCGTCATATCCGGGGTAACTGTTAGCCAAAACTTACCCTTATACTTGGCCTGCAGTTCCTCCCCATCGTCCAGCGTGGTTTTGGGAGACTGAGCAGCAGATGAGTTTCGTGAGCTTGGGGGCGGGGTGGGCAGGTTGGAGAGCGGACGGTAGGTGAAATAGCTGTCTTCATCCCAGATCTCGTCCTCCGCTCCAACGTACTTTTGGCCGTCTCGACGCATGGTGAAGAGTGTGTTTGTGTGTGTTGTTGATTAAATGTCGTTCGTGGTGTGGTGTTGCGTGGTTGTTTGCAAGTCGAGGTTCAGTAGTCGCAGATGGTTATGGTCGTCGGTCCAGGTCGCAGCAGAAGCCGTCTCTCATATTTGGGCGCCGAGAAAAGTCGATCTCTCTTCCCCTCGATTTGACGGTCTCGATTGTCGTGGGAGTAATTGAGATCGCCGCAAGTGCAGTGTTGTGTGGGTGTGGAGCGGGTGGGAGGAAGTAAGCACGCGAGCAACTGCTGAATGTTGGGCTGATCGCTTGGCGCAGACAAACAGGAGCAGTGCAGTAACAGGAGCTTCAACGCGAGCAGAATGGAAAGTCGAATATAAACAAGCGGGCAGAGTGCCGGAAGAACAAACAGCAAAATAAATATAGACTACTTTCTACAGAGGGAGACTGGAAGGCCGGGAGCGAGAGATTGGCAAAATGCGAACTGGACAATGACGGAGCGACTGATGATCGAATGCTGAAATGGAGGGAGGATAACGTCGTCGATTGCAAGAAGCCGGAGGGGGTGTTCCAGGGTCCCTGCCTTATATAGCAGATGCAACACACACTCCAGCACGGCGCGGCAGCAGATGGAAGCCAGCACCCAGGGCAAGTTCAGGCGAGTCTGGCCAAGGTCAAGCCAAGGTAAGATCGGTCAGGTACCTGAGTAGCGACTACCTGCCTGAGCTGGGGACCAGGTGGGTGGACCCGGGTAGTGGGTACGCACTGGCAGTCACGAGCAAGGTCACGTCAGGCCAAGTCGGCTGCGAGAAGCAACCTCGGGCCTCCGAGAGGTCGCGTACCGGTACTGCTCGGGTGGCTTGTTCACGGCCACCACCCATGGAACACATCACCTCCCTCCTGTGCCGGTCGGTACCTTAGTACGTGCTACCCACCTTGTGTACCTTACCTGGAAGGAGGTGGTCGGCAGGGTGGGTTTCCCCTATTCCAGTACTAAAAAAGGCACCCTACTCGCATGTCTGGAGCGTCGTAGCACATACCTGCGCTCCGGCCCTACTGAGCATGATACAACCGCCCGTGCTCGAGTAGCGCTAGGCCCCAAGACCTGAACACGAGCAGCCAAGTGGAGCGGAGCGTTCAGGGAGCCGGGCGTGTTAATTAAGGCTGACTGGGCCTGCCAGCGCCAATGGCTTCCAGCTCAGGCTCCCTGGGCCCTCTCTGCAGCCGGCCAGCGACCAGCGGTGGAGAGAAGCAGGCGGGATCCACGGTGCCAAGACAAGGGACTTGGGAAGATGGAGCCCTGTAATTACCTGCGAGGTCAAGTACGAGTTTGTGAGCGCGGCAGCATGGCGTGCGGCGTGGCGGGCTGCTTGTCTCAGCCGAGACATGCATGCTCAGGGAGCAACCCTCCAAAAAAAGACGGGTGCTGCATCGTGCCTGGGGAAAAAGAAAGCAGCGTGTGAGACAACAGGCACCGACTTGATCAATCTGAGTGTTCCTTGCGGCCGGCAATGGTAGGATGTGCTGTAAGAGTCTCACCTCCAGCTGGCATGACGCTGCATTGGCATTGACCCAAGAAAGCAATAGTATCCCGACCTGTGCATGAAAACAAGGCTTTAGTGGATAGACCGGATAATATCCCATCCAATATATGGCCCTGTGGCTTCGAGAACCAGCCGCGGTTGTGAATATGAACGACACTCTGCATATGCATACGACGCCGTTATTCAATTCGCGGACTGTCGAGCTATCAATTACACATCCGACTAATGTACATGGAACGCTGCATGCACGGGTCAGATGCGCTCGAATATTGCTACCCTCTTGATCGCCTCTTCGTATCATGTACAGCATGTTTATTTCTTGCCTGTTGTTTTGTATGTACATGGTTTTTGCTCCTCTCTCCTCTTCTCCTCTCTCCATCGGATACGCCAGGATAATCGGGATACTGGATTATTTTTGATAAGCATGGGGCGCCCCAGCCACCCCAAGGTTTGGGATCTTGTCAGACATCTGCTACTAGGACTTTGACTAGGACTAGGGCCTTTGCAAAGCTGATATGACGCTGCGCATATTCTTGTGCTGTGGCTTGCCATAAGCCAACCCAGATTCGCCTTGTGTCATCGACGCAATGCTGATGCTCACTCTCCCGCTCTCACTCACGAGATGCCCAACAGGCTCGGGCTCCCGCCGCACTGGATTCTCCCACCCATTGTGTCCAACTGAACTGAGCCAGCTCACCGCCCATTCATTGTTTTCCCTTAGCCTGGGTTAATAGTCAGGCCAGGCCAGGTCTCGGCGGCGAGACGACGGCGGCAGCCGGCCGGGGAGGGTCAACCAACACCATGCTATTATGTACTACGGCTGCGCATGCACGTCAATGTCAGTTCAAGAGTCCTCTTTAATTGCACCCTCAACCAGGCTTGCCCGCTTTCAACCCCAGCTGAGGAACCATCACCACCTCACCGAGGCACTAGGCAGAAAGCCCCCCTTCCCTTCTCTCCGTAGGTGCGTTGGCAGCCAGTGCCAGAGCACGTTTAGACCTTGTGTCTCGCCCGGCCGTGGCTCCTGGCTGCCGTCGCAATATCAAATCCCTCTTTTCGTGTATGTACCAAGTCAAGTGCATGCGTAGCTCTCGAATGTCCACCGGACCTGGCCCCAATCCAATGACCTGCGCCAAGGGACCGAACCCCCACCCATTCGGGCTCGTCTTTGTGTAGCATTTCCCCTTTCTGAGGCTGAGTCCTGCTCTTAATTGGATGGCATGGGTTTGCTTGCCCGCTTTCCCGAACCCGACCTTTTCTTGTCCACAGGGGTATAATTCGCATTCCGCACAATAATGAGCGTCATCGCAATAATACGTCTCGATAATGGCTACTGACAATTCCCCGTGACAAAAGAACTGTCCGTCCGCCTCGAAATACTCCGATAATACGTAGTATCTCGTCATACATATAGGTAGCAGTCTAGAAGGAACGAAAGAAAAAAAATTAATTGCGGTCTATCCAATATCCATTCCTCTCGCTTGGTGGCGTGGTATGCCACTGGTCTGGAACCCGGGTATGGCTTCAGCTGGGCAGCCGAGATCTTCTGGACTGAATCGCACCATTGGGTCTCCTGTTAGTGATGGCAACAGTGTTCGGCCGTGTACCCACCCCGCCGTGAAGTCTGGAAATTCAATTCTCACGTCGGTCGACCCGGTGGCAGAACACCAAAAAAAAGCAAAATGGCTTCCTTCCTCCACTATGATGTACATATTTTCTCCGTGCGGGCCACCCCACTCGCTTGGGAATTGGGTTCAGACATGTCTCAGGCTAATTAACTTCACTCGACCCAAGGCACCGGCAATTTCGAGATATTGAGCAATTGAGCTTCGACTTCATATGACCGCTTTGCCACCATTCTAGATGATCTAATATTAATTTTAACCCTTAGCATCTCATTGTCGCATTCTTAGTGCGCACACGGAGCCTGCGCTGAAAACTAAATACAATATCTGGCCCAAAGCGGCTTGAAGTATATCGGCAAAAAGCCACGCTATCGAAGCCAGCCGTTCGATCACTTGCTATTTTCGTCAATCCAGAGCAATCCAATGTTACGATAGAAACCCACTGGGGCGGCTTGAGATTCCAGCCATGTGTCTACCCACACAGCCTCAAGCTGATGTGTGAACTCTGTTATATATAAAATTTCGATGGGCTGTGTCGTGCTAGGGCAAGCTTGTTAGCAGCAGGATGAGTTGATATAGGGTAGCCGGGAGTGAATAGACAGAAATGACGACATGCACTAGTACCATCGGAGCACAAGTCAAGGTCACATTCATGAAGATGCATTCTTATGGTCAAACTCGTGGAAGATCACCAATAAGGTCAAGAATACGAGAGGCACAGGATAGCTGAAATGCAGGAACATGTTGAATGTGCTGGAAGTCGCCAGGAACCCGTATATGCAGGGACGGTTGTGTGATTGATGACAGCTTATAAATCGAGAGCACATTATGGGCTATCGATAAGGATTTTTCCTGATCTGTCGGTGCAACGACATCAGTTCAACCCGATCGTTCCCGCTGTTGCGCCAGCTTCCAACAACGAACCGGATTGCCTCCAACTGCTCTGATATCCGCGAATTGATCACCTGTAAAGACGACCGAGACAAAATGGATGCCAAGGTTGCTGCTTCAGGCAAGTTCCAGCCTCCCCAAAACATGAGGCAGTCGTTCTTCCCTCGAGCCCTTGCTAACTTTCGTTCCGTACAGATCTCGATGGCGCCTCATGCCCAGTGAAGACGAATACCATCGAAAAGCCCAAGGTGCGTCGCTAACTACACATTCTATCGCCTCAATTGGCCCATGAGTCCTCCCGCAGCGAGTCCACATACCCGTGAGGATGCCAAAGCCGAACAGCGAGCTCAACCCCGTGCCTATCACCTGATATATCCGATCCTCGAAGCTTACACATACTCTCTCTAGCCATGCTGCGTCTGCAAGGAGGAAAAGTCGAAGCGTGACGAGTGCATGCTCTTCTCCAAGTCTGCTGACCCCGCCGCGGACTGCAGATCCCTGGTCGACCAATACAAGAGCTGCATGATTGGCTACGGATTCAAGGTATGATCAATGAACCTGATCAGAGAGGTTTGGTCGAACAAGAAAAATCATCAGCCGCCGCCTTGGCCGTGTAAAACAGGAGAATGTATACTATCTGATAGACCTGCGGGGGCGAACCTATGTACACCACTTATTCGTGAATCTCGGCTCAACTGGCTTCCAAGTGCGCACACCATGTTAGGTTTCTAGTCATGCTCAATGAGCCCTCGGAAACACAAAAGAAACCAATGCCCAAAGATAATAATTCCCAGGTTGATATATTGCCGCTCAGTCATGAAACCTTGCAAAACACTCTCCTTCGTTCATACATCCACCCCTCCGAAATGGTCCTGAAACTGAACCCTAGATTAAGTTTTAGATGAAGTCGCCGAAGCCTCCAGTTCTCTGCCCTCGTAGCCAGCCATAATCACATCTTCCACCTCTTTTATCTTCGCGTGTGTGTCCTTAACCAATCCCACCATCTGTGCTTCAATCGCCTGTCGTCGTTCCAAACTCTGGCAAATATTGTTCACACACTGGCTCTTGAATTTGAGCCTGGGTCTCGAGTTAGCCTTTTGGAGTAGAAGAAAGCCAAGATTGATGAAAATAGGTGAATGTGCGAATTCAGGTTCGTAATACAGACATACTTTGCCCGGAGCTGCTCAGCATGGACGGCCACTGCTCGAGCCTTTATCTCCTTCAATGCGTTCTCGGCGTCTATGATGACGGCGGCCATCTGTTGATCTCTTTCTTTTCTCAACTTTGATCACAATCAACAGTCAGAAATGGCCATTCTAATTATTGCGCCCGATGAGGGAGGTAGAAGCAGCACCCCTACTTTTTGAATCTTCACCTGGGTTTGGAAGGCAACCCATTCCGTATCACTCTCGCCACCAGAGTAAGAAGCTGCCTGCAACCGTTTGGCCGGCATGGTGTGATGGAACTAAACTTCTGTTCCGTGAAGAAATATGTATCCTCGCTATTTAGGACACCCGAGAGAAATCAACGAAAGGAGAAACACTGTGAATCCTTGATGCAAGAAGACCACCAATTGATGCTTTGAAATACTATGGGATCGCTGTCGAAAGAATGAAGGTATAGAAATCCAGGTACTGGTGATTTGTACCTGTGCGCTATGCTGCTTTTTCTATCTCATGGCTCTGAGAAGGGCAGGCACGACCAACTACGCTCCTTCCTCAACCCCGCCACCTGAGGCAAACATATACCACGTTCAGGGACGGAGATATCAGGACAACCGCAGAATTTATCATTAGCCTGATCATTAATGCGAGTCAGATCGTCTCTATCACTGAATTATAGCCTTTTGTTCATGTCGTGGTATTTATCATACAGATCAAGCATCCAGTCCAGTTTTGTTTTCTTCCTCAACCTCTACCTAGTCAACGCAATGTCGTCTATTCTCAGAATCATCTTGACGGTCTCAGCAGCAAGCTCAATGGCGCTTGTACTGACTAACAGGGGCTGCAGAACGTTCTCCTTGGAGATGTTGATGTTGACTCCTCCAGATTTAATGCTCACTCCGGCGTTCTTCTCGCCCATCTCGTGCCTGTGTCGGAGATCTGTGACGACCTTGATGCTATTCAGACCTGCGTTCTCGGCCAGGGTAGTGGGAATAACTTCCATGGCATCGGCGAATGCCTTCCAGCAGATGGCCTCAGTGCCCGTCAGGCTGCGTGCTTGCTTCGCCAGCTGAGCAGCAATTTCAATCTCAGGGGCACCTCCACCAGCAATGAGCGCCTTCTTCTTGACCAGGCAGCGAATGACGCAAAGAGCGTCATGCAAACTGCGTTCGGCCTCCTCAAGAATCAAGCTGTTGGCACCGCGGACCACCACGGAAACGGTCTTTCCAGTAGCCTTTGCGCCGTGGACCTTGACCATGCGGGATCCACTGGATTGCACTTCCTCGACCAGATCGGCGGATCCAAGCTTGTCCTCGGTGAAAGAGTCGATATCGGCAATAGGCTTGCAGCCAGTGGACTTGCAAATAAACTCGACCTCCTCGCGCTCGATATCCTTGATGGCCAAGATACCAAGCTTGGCCAAGAAATGCAGAGACAGCTCGTTGACGGCGTCTCTCAAAATCGACTTTTGGATCAATAATACATTGCACTTAGCCTTCTTGATCTTCTTGGCCATATTGAGAAGATAAAGACGCTCCTCCTTGACGATTTTGTCCATCTGCCGATAATCGTTGACCTGGACGGTGTTCTCCATCTGCAATGTACCAAGTCAGTAAGCAATTCTCACCGTTCTTTCGTTTTAACAGATCTTATACGCACGTCGGGCTTGGGGGGACTGAGCTGGAACTGGATCAGACCGATCTTGGCCTTCTCCATGCGGACGGGCCCGTTCGCATTCTTCAGCACCGGTTGGGTGAGGACGAGGCCATCGTTCAGCTCACTGTCTTCGATAGTTCCTCCCACTTTCTTGATTATTCTGATGTTTCGCAGATCCACATTGTCTGCAGTCTTGATATCAATAGTCTTGGTGACAGAGTTCACGGCCATGGGGCCGAGGAGATTCGAGTACTGGGAGACGATCTTGGAAGACAGCGAGGTGTTGGCGGCTTGGAGGAGGGAAGCGGTATCTGAGAGGGAGATCGGTTGGGACATTTCATGTAGAACCTCAACAGCGGCAGCGGCAGCTCGCTGGAAGGAGTCTGAAATGACGGAGGGGTGGATACCCTTCGAGAGAAGTCGGTCGGCGGCTCCAAGGAGACTGCCACAGATAACGACAACGGACGTAGTTCCATCACCGGCCTCGACATCCTGGGCACCGGCAAGGTTGACAAGCATCTTTGCCGTGGGATGCAGGACAGACATGCTCTTCAGCATGGTGTGGCCGTCGTTTGTGATTATGGTCTCTCCCTTTCCGCTTCGAATCATCTTGTCCATGCCTCTGGGGCCGAGGGACGTCCTGATGGCATCGGCGACAGCTATAATAGATGAACATAGTTAATTAAATGTTATTAAATATGATCATTCGGAAAGCTGCTATACCTCTGGCAGCAACAATGTTGGAAGATCGCACGGCGGTGGGCTTCTCCTTATCCTGCTACCTGTTAGCGGGGCAGTTGGGAAGCTTCGCGAAGCTGTTCTGACCTTGAAAGTTGCGTTGCCGCCGCCGCCCGATGATACTTCCGCAGCCATCTTGAAAACTGTAGAGCAAAGACCCAGAGCTTCAGGGAAGAACGGGTGGACGCAAAGGTAAGAAAGGGGATGGAGCTTGGAATGTTTTTCCTAGTTGACCCAGGGTGCTATAATATCCCACTTTCTGCCTTGGGTGGTGGGCTGCAGTGGTCGCTCGTAGAATCAAATTATTGCAGCCAGAAATTTTGGGCTCGGACCCCAAGATTATCCAACTCCGATTGCCGGCTAGCCCCCATTGGCGACTCGACCCTGTCAACAATAGTGGATCTGCGCGCATGCAGCACAGCGGCTGGAGGGCAGAGGCAAGCAAAGCAGCAGGCAGCCTGGATTACGGCATCCCTCCATGCTTGCTTCCATGACATTCATTATCAGCACCAGCTAGCTCACGACGACACCATCTACCTCTGCGAAGACCGGCATATACCCAACACACGCTCAATACTGCAAGCCCAACAAAAGCATCCTCGCAATTTGTCCGAAAGAGTCCGTTACTATCGCTCATTAGGCGGCGGATTGTATCATGGTGAGCTTGACACTAGCATCTATCCCTACCTACTATAGGTTGCCCTCGTCCATGCTAACCTAGGTAGCCTTCCGCAACTGGCCAGGACTGGGAGAAGTACCAGAAGAAATTTGCCGACGATGAGGTAGAAGAGAAGAAGATCACACCTCTGACCGATGAGTATGCACCGACCGTCCTACAGCTCTCCTCCAGGGCAAACACTCACATGTCGAAACAGGGATATCCAAGTCCTCAAGACCTACGGAGCTGCCCCGTACGGCGCCGCTCTCAAGAAGCTAGAGAAGCAGATCAAGGAGAAGCAGCAAAGCGTCGACGAGAAGATTGGAGTCAAGGTACTACTGCCCCTCCACCGTATCAAGACCTCACCCAAGCTTCGGACTAACCAACGCCGTCCAAACAGGAATCAGATACTGGTCTTGCACCACCCCATCTGTGGGATGTCGCCGCCGACCGACAGCGCATGTCTGAAGAGCAACCATTTCAAGTAGCACGCTGCACGAAGATCATTGCCGATGAGAAGGGCGACGAGTCCAAGAGCAAATATGTTATCAACGTCAAGCAGATCGCCAAGTTTGTCGTCCAGCTCGGTGATCGAGTGAGTCCGACAGATATCGAAGAAGGCATGCGGGTTGGTGTCGACCGCAACAAGTACCAGATTATGCTTCCGCTGCCACCAAAGATCGATGCCAGCGTCACAATGATGACGGTAGAAGAGAAGCCTGATGTAACGTACGGCGATGTCGGTGGCTGTAAAGAGCAGGTTGAGAAGCTACGAGAGGTCGTCGAGATGCCCCTGCTCTCGCCAGAGAGGTTCGTCAACCTTGGTATCGACCCACCCAAGGGTGCCCTGCTCTACGGGCCCCCAGGAACCGGAAAGACCTTGTGTGCCCGAGCTGTGGCCAACCGAACAGATGCCACTTTCATCAGAGTCATTGGCAGTGAGCTGGTACAGAAATACGTCGGTGAGGGAGCAAGAATGGTGCGAGAGCTTTTCGAGATGGCCAGGACGAAGAAAGCCTGCATCATCTTCTTCGACGAAATCGACGCTGTTGGTGGTGCACGTTTCGACGACGGCGCTGGTGGAGACAACGAAGTGCAGCGAACTATGCTGGAGCTCATCACCCAGCTTGACGGTTTCGACGCCAGAGGAAACATCAAGGTCATGTTCGCCACCAACAGACCCTCAACCCTCGACCCAGCCCTGATGAGACCTGGTCGTATCGACCGAAAGATCGAGTTCTCATTGCCCGACCTCGACGGCCGTGCCAACATTCTTCGCATCCACGCCAAGAGCATGTCCGTCGAGCGAGACATCCGTTGGGAACTCATTTCTCGTCTCTGCCCCAATGCCACCGGTGCCGAACTTCGCAGTGTGTGCACCGAGGCCGGCATGTTTGCCATCCGAGCCAGGAGAAAGGTCGCCACTGAGAAGGACTTCCTCAGTGCCGTAGACAAGGTCATCAAGGGCAACCTGAAGTTCAACTCAACGGCCACTTACATGCAGTACAATTAGTTTATGTAATTTACATGGTGTAAGAATAGAGCAAGTCTGGGCGGGGAGGGTCCCCGAAATGACCTGCATTCAAATACCTTGGTACACAATAGAACTTGGCGTTGACTCATAAGAATGGCCCAAAGCGGTGATGGTTCGTATGAGCTTCGTAATTAAGTTTTTGGATTGGTGTTGTGGTATATACTATTTAAATTCTATCTACTATGAAGCTTTGAGGATACCATTTGGTTTATCCTGTTCCAACTCGCTTGATTGTAACTCAATCAGACGCCACTCTATCTCGAGGCGACTTTGGGACATGAGTTTGACAACCTAGACTGCTCCATTAATGCTCGTGTAACAAGATGAAACCTAAGACTCTTCGTGAGCCTGGTGAATTCGGCAGCAAAGCAGGCGAGTCGAGTCGTGAATTCGTAAAATGGGCATCTCCCGTTCCGTACTGATCCCTTCCCCAGCGATTTCCGAGCGCTAACATTAATTATGATAATCCTACAATCCATCTAAGCCATCTCTGTCGTAGATAGGCAGCCCAGGCAAACAACATCTCCTTCGGTACCTCGCTCAACACAGCACCGGCTGCAGATGACCGTCCGGTGGCCGTGGGCGTCCCATCCCTTTGCTCGCGTCTGTGAAGAGCTGAAGTTCTTGTCAGGGTGCTTCTCGCCCACCGGTGACATGTCGTCGATATCGTCCATGTGGAACGAGCGGGACAGCACCTCCTGCTCTGACAGGGCGCTTCCTTCGTCGCCGCTCCATCCTTGGCACTGGCGGATGCACACGAAGCATGTGCGCTCTCCACATCCCTCGCACTCGGCGAATGAGTCCAGCTGGGATTTCTTCGTTGGTCTTCGGTGGCAGATATGGCAGGGCGTGAGGAGCGGCTTCGTTGCCGCCGCTTTGCTGCCCAGTGAGGGAGTTTGGTCGTGCAGCACGCGAAGCTGCTGGGACAGCCGCCGGCGGCTGTTGTGATTATCTTGGAGGTGTATCTCGTCCTCCGCGATCCGTGCCCGTTTGTTAGACAGAGGCAGGATCTTGCGAGCTCGATCGGACTGCTGTGATGGTTGGTGGTAGTGAGGGTGGTTGAGGAGGATGAGGTCTGGGGACTCTTCGGGGCCGTATAGCCGGCGGATCATTTCGTCGTCGTCTTCATCGTGTTCCCATCTTCTTTTGCGAGCAGCCAGCTGGGCATCCGGGCCGACGAAGGGCATCGTCGGCAGAAGCGATGATGATGGGTGGTTGTTGCTCAGTGGTTGCTACCTGTGTTTCGGACCATGCAGAGCCACTTCAGATGCGATGTCGAGAATAGGGTGCCAAATGAGCGACTGAAGGAAAAGGCCACTGGTGAGTGTTGTAGTTAAAGGTGAAAGGTGAACGATGAACACCTATTTCACGAAGGAAGAAGGGTTGGGAGGTGAAAAAGGGAGGTGTTTTGTGGCGGAATCGGCTCAAAAGTGGGAGGCGAGTGTTGGGGTGACAGAGTGAACGGCTGATCAGACACTGCGGTTTCAACAATCTGATTGCTGGGCTATCGCTATCCAGGTGCCTAGGATTCTCTTCAGTGGCTCCATACAGCGATGTGACGTTTGGGTTTAGTGGCCCTTACTCCCTGCAGCAACCTGCCTGGTGTTAAGTGCCTCGCCATTCCCAGTGGGGGCCAGAGGATCGGATCCATCGTTAATATTGGAACGCCCAGCACCTTAACCGACCTGTTTCGGAGATTGAAGTGAAGAGCTGGACAGTGACAGTCGTCTCGAATTAATCTGACAGTTATTGCCCCAAGACATGTCTCCCGTTTGGAGATCCCGGGGGCAATGCAAATGCAGCACCCTCACACAAATAGTGTATAGGGTATCCAGGACGAACGGAGGTCAAGGGGGCCTTGCCCATCACATAAACAGATACTGCGTCAGTGCTACGATGATCACTGGGGGTTCATCATGAAGGATCAGAGCTGTATGAAGTTGGATGCTTTAAGACAAAGTAAAGTACTGGAACGTTTTAGCTGATTTACACTCTAACTACCACTTCTGACCGTCCTGCCAATATGTCCCCCCTTTTCACCCGTCTCTACTAGTAGGAAAAAAGGACCTGATCTGAGGGAGCGAGAGCGACTAGTATACACTTCCTGAGGCGCAACTTTGGCCACCAGCTTAATGGCGGACCTTGCTCTCAGCGGGAGGGTCGTAAGCGAGCTTTCTCGACTTCAGCCAAGCCCACTTGTAGCGCTTGACCCATACACTCACTGCCCAGAGGGAGGCAGTGACGACGAGAACCTTCATACCCATCTTCTTGCGGTCATCCATCTCAGGCTCAGCAGCCCAGTTGAGGAACTCGACAACATCCTTGGCCATCTGAGAAGTGGAGGCGGTAGTGCCATCCTCGTACTCAACAAGATCGTCATACAGGACACGAGCCATGGCAATTCCGGTACCAGGGAAGTAAGGGTTGAAGTTCATGCCAGGGGCGACAACAGTTCCGGCGGGGGGCTCCTCGGGGTAGCCAGTCAACAAGCTGAAGATGTAGTTGCAGCCACCGTGGCGGGCCTTGACGATCAGGCTCAGATCAGGAGGGAGGGCACCATTGTTGGCGAATCGGGCAGCCTCCTCGTTCTTGTAAGGAGAAGGAAGGTAGTCGGCAAGCTTTCCGGGGCGCATCTCGATATCACCCTGCTCGTTGGGCTCGCCGGGGTACTCGTTCGCCTCGGCGAGCTCCTTGGCCTCATCGACAGTGAGGATGGAACCAACGAGACTTCGGTAAGGGATTCTCTCGAGAGAGTGGCAAGAGGCACAGACTTCCTGGTAGACCTGGAAACCACGGCGGAGGCTAGGACGAAAGTCAATAAATTGGAAGCCATTGACAGCGTGGAATTGAAGGGCAGTTCCTTACGCCTGGTGATCGTAGGTCTTAAACCACTGCTCGTGAACCCAGGGGTACTTGGTGGGGTGAAGACTAGAGGCTGTCGTTAGCATCGCTGTTGGTCTATGACGGCGTCTTAGGTATCGTTTTATGCCGCAACCGAAGAGTCGTGCACACAAACGCTCCCGTGGACGTCGATCAGGACCATATTCCAACATACCCCTCCTCGGCAGGAGTCGAAGCGAAGGCCACGGGGCCGTAGAGGTGGTAGTACCAGGCCATGGAGCCAAGGGCGAGGGTGGTCGAGGCGGCGGCGGCGACGTTCAGTCGCGTAGGGACAGCTTCGTTAGCAGCGCCGGAGCTCGTCGAGGCGGCACGCTGCACGAATTGACATGTTAGCAGTGTTCCCAATTGATCCCATCCTGATATCGATGCAATTGATGTGCCGTTGGTGCGAGAGCATTGGTGGTGATAGTATTCCCTCGGCAATCGGGATGGACAGAGGAGTGCATCATGATGCCATACCTTGGTGACATTGTTGGCGCCATTTCGAAGCCCATTGAGGGTGCGCGTCGAGCGCAAGCATGACCTTGCCAACATGACTGGCAAGCTGACGTCTAGGCGTACAGAAGCCGGTGTGAGTAGGTCGGTGATGGGGGAATGGATATCGGGTTCGGAGGGCGAAAAGGCTCAATCGAAATCGTAAGGCATTGGAGAAAATCCAGCGTTCCGAAATGGGCCGACGCTGATTGGCTCGGTCACGTGCATTTTCGGGGAGCTGGAAGTGATGTTCATCAACAAGTATCTCAGTACCCGCCCCACTCTTTTCTCGTCTGGTCTCGCATTATTGCAGCCATGCTACCCTACACCGCCTCGAAATTTCCCGGTCCTCGACCATTCCTTTCTTGTCCAAAGAGAGCCATCCTGGAGTTCGTGCCCCGCCCCCACTATGACCACAATTTCCGCTGCCTAGAGACTAGCAAGGTCTGGTTTGTTGTTGTTTCTTTGTTTGCTTGATTTATATATCCCAAGTGACGAAAGATCCAGCATTTTATCTTTTTACTGGCTCCCTAGTATCTGTTTGCATCATGGCTTCTTCGGACAAGATCTTCTCCCTCGAGGGCAAGGGCCTGAAGCTCACTACCGAGGCTGATCTGGAACCACATATCGCCCCCCTCCGGGCTCTGGAGAATGTCGAGGAGGTCAGACTCCTTGGTAACACACTCGGTGTCGGAGCTTGCAAACTTCTGGGTGAGGTCCTGGCTACCAAGAAAACTCTTAAGGTATGATGATGGAAAGCGCAAAGACGCATAGTTCTGTTTGGTATCCTGACTGTTGCAAAGAAAATGACTAACCTAAAGCTTGAATTTAGAACGCCAACTTCGCTGATATTTTTACCGGCCGTCTCCTGAGCGAGATCCCCGAAGCTCTCACCCTGCTACTGAATTCGATCCTCAACCTTCCTAACCTCGTGACGATTAATCTGAACGACAACGCTTTCGGGCTCAACACCGTGGCTCCCCTCATCACCTTCCTCTCATCACACGTTCCTCTCCAGCATCTCTACCTTAACAACAATGGACTCGGTCCCCACGCCGGTATCCTTGTTGCTGACGCCCTGTCAGAACTCCATGCAAAGAAGGAAGCCGCGAGGAAGGAGGGCAAGGAGGTTCCCAACCTGGAGACTGTCATTTGCGGTCGCAACCGACTGGAGAATGGAAGCATGATTGCCTGGGCCAAGACCTATGGCCTCCACAACAAGATCAAGACTATCAAGATGATCCAGAACGGAATCAGGCCAGAGGGCGTCGCTCAGCTCATCAGGGAAGGTCTTGCCAAGGCAAGCGAGCTGGAGGTTCTTGATCTCCAGGACAACACCTTCACGTTTGTCGGTGCCACAGCCCTAGCCAACGTCGTGCCGGAATGGACTTCTATCAAGGAGCTCGCTATCGGCGATGCTCTCCTCCGTGGAAAGGGTAGCTTGTTGCTAGCCGAGGCCTTGTCAAAGGGGAAGAACCAGAAGTTGGAGACTCTTCGCTTGTCTTTTAACGAGATCACCGCTGCCGGTCTTACGGAGCTGGCCACTGCCGTGAAAGACTCCCTCCCCGCGCTGAAGCGCATCGAAATCACCGGAAACAAGTTCGAGGAGGACCACGAATCGGTCGTTGCTCTTCAGGAGCTCCTCGAGGAGCGAAAGGAGAAGTTCGCTGGCGATATCGTTATTGAGGACGACTGGGGTGTCGACAGCTTGAGCGACCTGGAGGGAGAGGATAGCGACGAGGAGGAAGAGGAGGAAGAGGAAGACATCTCAACCGAGGAGAGAGTTGAGAAGCTTACCAAGGCTGCCGCCGAGGCACAGGAAGCACCTACTGTCAAGCATACGGATGGAAGTGTTGACACTTTGACTAAGCAACTTGAGAAGACCTCAATTTAGATGCATAGATAGATGAAAGACATGATACATAGAATGGGAGCTCTCAGTGGAACTTTATACCCCCTAGAATACAGGTGCTGAATTGGATGAAACATGTGGTTGGTTTGCATCACTGCTTCTACATAAAATGGCAGCCCGGCCTTCATATAACGCATGCACACATACGAATACATTCATTAGTTTATCCAGGAACTTATGGGATGTTCATTGGGATCTCAGCAAATGGGGAAATGCGGCATTAGCAGGATCAAAGAGCAGCATTCATCTGCTGCCCACCGAGATGACTGTGGGAAGAGGAAGTTTGCTTTGGAGGGGAGTCGTACCTTGATTAAACTAGGTAGATGTAGCTTGCTCGTCTTCAAAGCATTTCTGAGTTTCGTCAGCCCACTAGCACTCTCACAGAAAGAGGGAAGGGAGACATGATGGAAGCCAATTAAACCAAGGGGATTACATGAACCAAGAACCCTAGACTCCGACATAGAGAAGATTTGACCCTCATGATTGCCTCCTTGCCCTCAGCCTCCAAACAACTAGACCAACAAACTAATGCAAAATGTATATGTATGGTTTTGCAGCTCTGCAAAAGCGAATGTCATCTCTCGCCAGACTATGGGGTTTCAAATCTATAAAGTTTCGCGTAACACATGAAAAAAAATGATGGATGAATAAACAATTACGCCGTCTCTCCTTCTTAGAAATCCATACCATCACCCTGGCCAACGACTCCAAACTGCTGAAACGCCCCGTATTGCGTGGCCATTTCCATTTGCTGCTGCTCTCGGATGTAGTCGGGGCCTTGGTAAACAGGGTCCATTGCCTGGGAGTAAGTCGGCCCATTCATAGCCTGGGCCGTGGCAAAGCAGCCGTAGGCATTTCGTGAGGGGCTAGTGGTGTAAGACTGTCGCTCCTGCTCTCGCTCCCTCTCACGTCGCATGAGTTCCTCGTATCCAGAGAGCATGTATGGCTCTGAATCAGTGCTCTCCTGCTGGTGCCACTGCCCGTTCTGGGCCTGGACAGGTGCGTTCCGAGCGGCTTCCTCTTGCTGCTGAGACTCGTAGCGGACTCGGGCAAGCTGCTCCTCGTGCTCCAGAGTCGTACTGCTCCAGGCCAAAGATGGGATGTCCCCGCCATTCTTTGGTGGGCAGATACTCCAGAGCTCGAGCAATCTTCTCTGCTGGGGAGCATCAGCTACCTTGAAGAGCTGAAGCTGGGAGGGTGTCAGGGTCTGAGGATCGATGCCGTGGATCCGGAGAATGTGTTCAGAGGCTGCGTTGTCGCCGTGCGGTGGCACAGAGGCCGACCTCGGGATGTCCTCTCGGTTTGAAGACTCTACGGGCCTTGTGGTGTGACTGGAGTGGTTGTAGTGCTGCGAAGCAGAATAGACGACGGCCTGTTCCGGTTCCGGTGCTGGTACTTGTGCTTGAATCTCCGGGTTGAAGAAGATGGTTCGGGAGAGGAGAGCTGCAAGCTCATCCTGAGCCTGCATATTTGACTGGTAGGCCATGGTATTGATTATAGGCGGTCTAGAGTAGTAAAGCTGTCAGTGTTGGTTCCTCAAATGAAGATATACTGCGGGTACCTCGAAGTGAAGCTCGGATATTGCAAGTTTCTGCTGTGAAAAGCTATGAGGAGAGGAGGGAGGAGGGGAGGTTTCTAGTATATTTCCTCGGGGGGTGTGGGGGAAACAAAGAACAGAGAAGTCTTTATTCTTTGCAAAGAAAGACGTTTTCCTGTAGAGTTTCGGATGGACGAGACAAACGGCAAGCAAATAATGCGCATGCGAAAACGGTTCCTTTGCCTCGATTGCAAGAGTGGCAATGGGTGGTTCTATTTCTTCGACTACACTAAGAACTGTCAAGCAGAAGAATGGACACGCAAAAGAAACCAAATCGTATCAAGCAGGATACCGTAGAAGTAGGATGAGAAGAGAGAGGGAACCAAAGAATAAATAAGTAAATAAAAGGAGCAAGAGGAAACACGGCCGCCTGGCGGTCTGGTAATGAACCACGTCAAGCGTGAATTTCACGGGGGTGGGCAGACTTGTTGGGTTGCGTTGGGTCCCAAGACTGGGGCTGGAACACACTATTAGGCCGGGTTGGTCTTCACTGGAAAGGTGCGAAATGGAGAGAGGGAGGCGAGAGGGTGCGATGGGTGATTCAATAGCGATATAGTTCAGTTTTTCACGGATGTGTTGGACGGTTTTCTTTGTGTGAAGACGTGAGAATGAGTCCCGAGAAGTTGGTGGTTGTAGATTATAAATAGGTAGGAGGGGTAGTGAGCAGCCTGGATGGAGATTGCAAGGGGCAAAAGGGGTCATGCCATGAATTTGATGGGAGGGATGGAGGGGTAAAATCCAAGACCCCAATCCCATGACGCAGCTGTTCAACGTGACCTGCCAAGAGTCACGCCTGGCCTCGAGCAGAGACTGGGCGTCTACCTGGCCATTGGTTGTGGCGTAGTCACGATCAATTAATTTAAATCAATATAGGCATCATCTGTGTGATTTATGTATTTATTGCTTTTGAGCATTCCTCATAGATTGAAACATGTACTGTAATGTACTCCATTTTATTCCTATATGCATGGTTCAACTTCCTGGGAAGTACTTACTTTAAAGTGACAGTCGGGTTGAAGGTGTCATACACTTAGCACCCGAGTGTTCCGCAAGACGGATGAAAATGAAGCTACACGGGCATCCCAGACTAACGCGTACTTGAATGTAGAAAGTGCCCCGGCGCTCTCTGGCAACGACCAGAGGGGCGGTACTGATGATGTTGTGTTGCATGAAACGGACACTCTAGGTTAAGCTACCGAAATTACTCGAAGAATGGAAGCTTGCCACGAGCCATCGCGGGGTAGCAGACTAACCTAAACCTATCAGCCACCCGACAGCACGGCAGACAGGGGAGGAGCCACCAGCCACATGTGGCTTGACGCTTTCCGCCTCAGGCAGCTCCGCTTCCAGCCCTGGCTGGCTCTCAACGACGCAACACGCAGCTCAGGCTGCCTGGTGAAGCTCCATCTAGGTTAGCGATCCAAGCAACGCCCGGATCGAACAAGAGCTCTCTCCCTCCCCCAACAACCCCCCCCAAGTCCCGCAAACATCAGCCTCTAAAACCTATCAATTTTTCACATCACAGAGGCAAGATGGTGAGTTTCCCCCCACCATTCTGAAGGTTCATCTGTAATCGATATCTGAAGCTGGGTTCTGACCTCATCCCTCTCTCGCACAGACGTCCATAGGTACAGGTTACGATCTTCTCAACTCCATCTTCTCACCAGATGGCCGTAATTTCCAAGTCGAGTATGCCGTCAAGGCAGTAGAGAACGGCGGAACCTCTATTGGTATCCGGGCCAAGGACGGTGTCGTCCTTGCGGTGGAGAAGGTGATAACGTCAAAGCTGTTGAAGCCCGGAGCGAACAAGCGGATCGCAACTGTCGACTCACACATCGGAGTGGTATGAAGCTATCCCCTACCCCTGGAACATGTGAATTTTACAGTTAGGGAAGCTTACACTGCTCGAACTGACAGGCATACTCCGGCATGGTCCCCGATGGCCGTCACTTCGTCGACCGGGCCCGTGACGAGGCTTCATCCTGGCGCGACAACTTCAAGACCCCCTCACCAACAGCCGACCTCGTCTCCCGCATGGGTGGCTACCTGCAAGCATACACCATGTACGGCTCTGTCCGTCCCTTTGGTATCACCGCCATCGTAGGAGGCTACGACACATCGGAGGAGACACCCGTGGATGGAGAAGTAGGCTCGGGCCCCTCATGTGGTGCCGGTGGAAAAGTTCCCGGAAAGCACGGCGGTCCCTTCCTCTACATGATTGAGCCCAGCGGACAGTACTGGGGCTACTACGGTGCCGCCACCGGCAAGGGTCGGCAAGCTGCCAAGGCCGAGCTGGAGAAGCTCGACTTGGCCGCTGGCACGCTTTCGCTGGAGCAGGCAGTCAAGGAGGCAGCACGAATCATCCACCACGCACACAAGGACAACAAAGACAAGGATTTCGAGCTGGAGATGACATGGATTAGCGGGATTGATGGTCCTACCAAGGGACGACATGTGGAGGTACCCAAGGAGTTGAGGGAGGAGGCCGAGAGATTAGCAAAGGCTGAGGATGAATCTGACGATAGCGATGATGATGACGAGGATGAGAAGAAGGAGGGTGACAAGATGGAGGAATAAACTTGAAATTTCTTGTCGACTGGAGTCGTAGAATTAATTGAAAAGACTTCTGTGAAAGACGTATACTTTTATTTTCCCTGATCCCCAACATGGCTTTAGCCGGCTACTATTGAGTACAGTATTAGATTCTACTCCTTCATGTAAGATTCTTCTTTTCCTCCCCCCATGTCTATGATTGGACAAGCTATTGCTAGGCCAGGAAAAGTAATAAAACAAACACCTGGTTTTCCTGAACATTATCTACAGTATTGCCATGCATGATTGTGACTATGAGTATAGGGTCCGGGACCAATTGCTCCACTCGTCGAAGAAAGAACGCTGCAGCGTAATCTTTCCATGGAAACGCTTTGCCTCGGTTTTTAAATAGACTGCCCCGGCCTGCTCCCACGAGTCTCTGTCGATGGACAGCATTGCTGATGTGACGATGAGACTGGCAGCACTGGCAGCCTTCGCATAAGCATGCGAATTCGAGTTGTCATTGCCGGCTTCTTCATGGACCTGGATCAGGACGCCGAGCAGATCTTCCGTAGACAGACCGTCAAACTCCTGCTTGTTACCCAGAGCCTTTTTGAGGCCTTTCCGGTAGTCGAGGATGATTTCGTGGGCCCGGCTGGCCAGAGGCTTTGTGCTCGTCGTGCGTACGAGGTTGAGGAGGGGTACCAGCAGGGAGAATGAGAGTGGGTTCAGGACTTCGTTTTTGATGTAGATTTTGAGCAAATCTAAGATGCGGTGCTTGAAGTTGACGACCGATTGCTTCGCATCCTTCTTTTGTTTCTTTGAGTCTTTGGCACGCTTGACATGTGGCCGGATCACCTCGACCAGCTTTTCGTCGAGAGCGAGCATTTCCGAATCAGACATGTCGTTATCGTCTTCAGACGATTCAGCCTCTGCATCCTTATCCAAGCGATGACTGTTGAGAATATTGCCAATTAGCTCATCAAGATCCACTGGATCATCCTTTTTGTCCTCTTGGTCATCCTTTTCATCGTCATCGTCATCTTCATCTTCATCGTCGTCCTCATCGTCGTCCTCTTCCTCTTCCTCTTCCTCTTCCTCATCCTCATCCTCATCGTCTTCATCGTCATCTTCAGAACTTTCACCATCCTCGTCAACGTCCATCTGGTCATCCTCAATATTGAAGAGTTCCTGCTGGCCCTTGGCGCTCTCATCGGACGCCAGCGGGCTAGTAAGAAGCTCCAATCCCTCCGCCGATACTTGATTAGTGAAGGTGTCAAACACCTGCTGGGAGACTTCCCGCATGAGCGAGGAGGGGCGAGCCACCATCGACAGGAGAATCTCAATGAGAAGCTCTGAGTTACCCTCGTCGTTCTCAAGTTTGCCCTTCTTTAATCGGTCAGAGAACTGTGCGAGGTCCTGCAGTACTTCCATGGCATCCGGGTCTTCGTTATATAGTTGGAACAAAGAGACTGCATGAAGCAGTGCCAAGCCATGTGTCAGCGATTTCTCAACACTGGATTTGGAAGTCCGCTTAAGAAGTTTCTGGAGACGAGATCGGGCCTCTTTCATGGCTGTCGCAATTTCATCTTCCATGGCAACGAGATCAGTATCCATGGATAAAACGGCATTGCAGAGAATAGTGTGGTTATTTCCCTGGCGAATAAGTTTGGCCAAGGATGACTCTAACCGAGATCTGCACAGCTCCTTGACTTTGTCGGTTAACAGACTCTGTGGAATGTGTTTTGGTTGGGAATATGCCAGAGCGGACAATTCTTGAAGAGCAGCGCCGGATGCGAGCTTTGTCTCTGGAGAAGTATTTTCAGATGTGGAAGTCCCAGTTGCAACCAGGAGTTTTGATAGGTAGTCCAGGTAGGTGTCCAAGAAAACCCGAGCTTTTTGACTCTCCTCTTGGCCTAACTTGGCAATTGGAATTTTGATAATCTCGAGGCATGCTGCACCATTTTGTTCGTTGACGCTCTGAAGCAATTTCGCCACAGTTTTAGTGTTGGTTCGTTGGTCGAAATTGTAAACACCATTTTCACTGATGAGATTCTTCAGAATGGGCACCAAGGTGTTGGGGTGTTCCGAGACTGTATTCTCCAAGACCTTCAAAGTCTTGATTGCCGCGCGGTGAAGGTATCTATCCTTATTGGCAGCTTGATTGAGAAGACATGTCATAAGGTTTTTGGTGAAAAGTGATTCTAAGTAGGAAGGATAATCCACCAGACTGGTCAAATACTTTTGGAACACCAGGAAGCCCTTATATTTCTGTCCGTCAGTAGCATTATTTGAGAATAAATGGTCTAATTCCTAGTGTTAGCGAATTGTATATTGTTTAAGATGCAGAAATCTTGTGTCTCACCATTGACGACCCCCTTCCAGAAAATCTCAAAATCCTTGGGATTGTGCCCAGGTTTCTTATGATCCTGGATATAATGGGCCATGATCTTATCCCACACGAAGTGAGCCTCTGCCATCCGGTTGCCCTGCTTCATGTTTGAACCCTGGCCCCGCTCGTCGTCTCCCGCATTGCCACTCTCCTTTAAGACAGTCCCAAGGTCGTTCAGAGACTTTCTTGACAACGGATGTTGCCAAGGGCCTATAGAAAGTTCAGGAAAGCGGTCGAGAGCTGCTAGCCAGAAAGCCACTCCTTCAGGGGTCCTGGCGAGACCTGACGAAGAGACTTTCTCGAGTGTAGACACTACCCAATCCTTTTGAATCTGCTCGATTGCCTCGAGCACCGTGGAGGCACATGCTGACCTGAGCGAAGCCTTTTTGTAGGCAAGGTCGAGCAACAAATGGAGAACTGCGAGCCACTTGGATTTGTCCTGGAGAGCAAACTTGGATCTGACAAAGGTATGAAGACCGAATAACCGCCCAATGTGATGGTCACGTTCTTCTTGGCCGGGGATGTTCCCTGTAGGTTCGGTGCTGGTTATCAGAAAATCCAGCAGCCTCTCAAATGTGAGCCCGCTATAGTACTTGTCACCGAGATCCTTCTCCCACATCTCAGTGAGAATCTCGGTGATCACCTCGCCGAAACCAACACGAGCCGCCTTGCGACCACTGGCAAGGCCCCGGAACAAGCGATCCCTAAGGTGACGTTCAAGTATCACCTCAGCAACGGGCTCGATACCAATTAGGTTCGCGACGATGCATACTGCCGCTGGGTTTCGTTCCTCAGGAAGCTCACTTGCTAGAGCTTCATAAAGGTTTGATTCTCGAGCCCGCTCAGGGCCAGTGGGAGATTCCACGAATGGTCTCCTTTCAACTGCGGCGCTCGTACCATTTTTCTTGGAGTTCTTTGGTTTCTTGGAGGGCGGAACGGTGGCATCAGGGCCACTTCTGTTTCTTTTACCAGCCATCACTTCAATTGGAGTTGAAGAAATGCTTTGATGATAACTTTGATGGTCTCTATAACTTTTTGCCGTCCAAAAATTAATTTGGGGCGGATGCCCCACTTGGATGGTACACCGCCTGCCTAAAGAATCGAAGTGTCGTCAAGCGGGTGTTGGAAAAAGAGGAACCTCAACGGCCACTTAGACAGAGAATAACTGTGGCATAGGTAGTATGCACTAACAATGCTATAGAATGGTGCTTCTTCTTGTTGTGTAACTATAAATAATACTGCCTAGCGATACTGAATCTTACCGTTTATCAGCTGTGGTTTCTGAATAGGTATTGTGGCTTGCATTTGTGGCTTGTATTGGAACGTTGAAATGGCAACTGACACCCACTTGACTGGGCGACGGCATTTACTAGGTAGTTGGGTGGTGATGGGAGTAAAAATAGGTGAAATAGTCTGCACGCCATGGCCTTTGACCTTTGAGCAACGGAGGGATTTCCAATCGCTCAGATATTCTGTGGTACTTGTATCTTAGGCGGGGACTTAGCTCTAGCTTCTCGGGATGGCGAGAGCAACAATAGCTGAACCATGCCGTGGATCACACATCTGTATGCTCGAGCGGGACGGCGATTGGAGTGGCAATGTTCCCCAAGCGGACCGGACAGTGGCAAATGCGAAACACCTTCACTTGGCGATGTGATGTGATGATGCAGGGGGAGTCTATACTTAGGCTGATTAGGCAGCGGTTTGTCCGGGTTGTGTGTCGGGTCCGACAAGGTGCAGCGCACGTGACCTCGCGACTTGCAGCTGCTGCCCCGCACTGAGAGCGCGACGCATTTGTTTACTCTGGCGCGAGCTGTTTACTTTGGGCAGAAACCACCGAAAAACCGCCCCACGTTTTGGGTCTGTTGGTGGTTTGCCGGTTTTTCAGCAAGCAAACACTGGAAAACCCCGCACAAGAACTGTGAAACCGCCCAGGACAAGCAATCACCCTGTTTAGCTTCAATAGCAACCGGAACTCTGCATATGGCACCGCACTGCGAGTGGAGGGTCAGGTCACGACTGCGTCAGATGAAGAGCTGTGAGAGGTCCAGGCCTGTCGACAGTTGGTGGGGCGGACTGGGCTGTGCCTCCTTCAGATACGGGGCGATTGAGGGCCTCCAGGGGTTTGCGATGTGTGGTAAGGAAGCTGAATGCCTTTTCACCTTGGTGTTGTGTCATCTTTGGCCGTTGATTGGAAGGCTCGGTCAGGCGAGGGGGTTTCCATCTCAGGCAGTCCAGCTCGGCCGGTCGGGCGCTTACAGTCCAGGATCGGATAGTCAAACGTAAACATTGGATCGCTCGGGGGCTAGCTCACCTGGATGTCAAGCAAATGCGCATCAATCGGCGCTGACGGCGTTGTTGCATTGGGGGAGACCAGGGCGAGGATCCCGAGGCTGGGGAGCATGAGGGGATGTCATCATCCTGATACTCAATTCTTGAGGTCAGGTGTTCCGTGGCCATCTAGCTACTGGCCTACTCCTATGTAGGCGATGCTAGTAATACCTTACCTGCCTAGCTTGGTAATTCTGGGCAGGTTGGCGATCTGCCTTGTTCGTGTTTGGAGGCTCGGCTACGGAAACGGATAGCAATGACATCAATGGGTGTGTGGACTGACACAGGCCGATCGGGCGAGTGAGTACCCCATCGGCGATGG